AATGAGGAGTGAGGACGGCACCAAGCATGGCAGCTTGGATGGATGGCTGTAGCCTCATCGGTAATATGGAAGTGAGGAAGAAGGGAGGATGTGCAGGAAACGATGAGCTCGATTTGGGATGTCTTCAGGACTTCCCATCTGAAATGACCACGAGGCAACAGAGGGGAGAGCAGAGGTCAAGAGAGGCTGGGGCTGGACAAATCTAATGGAGAAAGTTTCCCCACTTGGGAGTTCCCAATGAAATCGCAGGTTTAGTCTGGAGGGAGCCTTATCTCCCTGGGAAGAGAAAGTAACACATCTAAATCTAAAGCTAAGAGACACCACCTCCACCCCACCCCACCCACCACTGCTCCCCTCCCCCCACCAGCCCCAGCATGTGGGGAATGTTAAATGCCTAAGGAAGGATGGCTCCTCCCCGCCCAAGTGGAGGGGACTGACGGTTTGTGGGAAGACACAAGACAAAGGTCCCATAGGAGGAGGTGGGTTAGTCGGAAGATCCCACAAAGAGGGGCATTAGGAAGAATTAGTACCAATCCCCCAAGATTCTCAGACTAAAGAAACTGGCCCTACCTTAGCCTGCAGGCAAAAGGAGATAATCTAAACTCCAAAGAGATAAAGTGGCTTCCAGAAGACCAGCCGTACAACCTCTGGAATGGGAGCAGCCAGCCATATCTCAGCCTGAAGGGGCTTGGTGGGAGGGGGGTTGGCAGGGAGAGGAAAGGCCAGGCAGGGAGCGAGATGGAGAGGAAAGGAAGGACAGGAGAAGGAAAGGGAGACATTGACAGATGGGGGAGCAAAGGAAGAGGGAGAGGAGGAAGAATGAGAGGGAGGGAGAAGGAAAACAGTAAAGGAAAAGGGTAGAGAGAAAATGAGAAAGAGAAAGGAATAGAGGGATGGGAAGAAAAGGAGGGAGACTGAGAGAAAGTGAGGAGGCAGGAGAGAAAAGACGGTACAGAGAGAGAACGAGAGGGAAGGGGGGAGGGGGAGGGAGAACAGCATATACTTCAGGGCTCTGAATCTTTAAAGACTGAGGAAGGGGCCTTGAAAGATTTATTAATAAAAAGATGGACGTATGAAATATGTCTGGGTTGGCTCTGGCCCCTGCAGGGGGCTGTCTGGTTCAACCTCCGGGTCAGTTTCAGAGCTTGCCCTTCTCTCCTTGGGAATTTGGGAAATAAAAGGTGGGACCTCTGACTATGTAATGGGGAGGGGGGGCGTCAGATCTCAACTTCTTTATCAGAATCTACATTAAAGCAACACCTCATTCATTTCATGAATTCAATTCAGGAAACCTTTGTTAAGCACCTGCTCCCGGGCCAGGCCCTGGGGATGCAGAGAGAGACGTTGCCATGGGGGCCATGCTCTCTAGGACCTCACTGGGGCTCACCTTAATACAGTTTAAGGTTTGAAATGGCTTTTGTCTCAACAACCACATGAGGTAAAAGGGGTAAATATTCTTTTCCCTAATTTACAAGTGAAGAAACTGAGGCTCAGAGTTATCAAATGACCAGCCCAGGGTCACATAGCTGGTAAGTGTTTAAGCCAGAAGTCCCGATGCCAGGTCCAGGGCACCTCACTGCCCTTTGCTGAAATCTGATCATCTGATATACAATGAGAAACAAGTACCCAGGGGAAGGTGGGGTCAAGCTGGAGAATGCCAAGGAGGGGAGGCAGGAGAGGGCATGGCAGGTTTCTGGGAGGAGGTGTGTCTGAGCTGGGCCTTGAAGAAAGGAAGGTGAAATGGGGAGGGCACTCATTCCATTCAAAAGAGGGCACTGGGGGCAGCTAGGTGGTGAAGTGAACAGAGCTCTGGCCTTGGAATCAGGAAGACCTGAGTTCAAATCCGACCTCAGACACTTAACACTTAACTAGCTGTGTGGACCCTGGGCAAGTCACTTAACCCCAATTGCCTAGTCAAAAAAGCAAAAAAAAAAAAAAAAGACCAAAGAGGGCACTGTGTAGGCAAAGGCTTGGAGATGGAAAAGTTCAACTCCAGCTGGGGGCCCATTGATCCCCTGGGTTTGTCTTGCTCTTGGAGTTTCAGGAGGGGAATAGTAGTAGGAGGTGAGGCTGGGCTGGAAAGTCAGCTGGGGACCTTGGTAAAACGAAACATCAGATTGTCAAGCTTTTATTTTTTAAAGGATCAAAACATTGTTTATGTTAACCTTTTGGGATGAAAATCTTTCTAAAAAGTCTCCCCCAAGCAGGATCCTCCGGGACTTTTTGATGAGAAAACAATAAACAATCTAATCTTTTCTAGGTGACTCATGGTTGTTAGTAGGGTGTAATCAAGGATGTTAAGATGTGGAAGGCTTTGAGACTGACAAAGGCTAGAAACAGCTGGAGGAGGAGCCCCTGGGACCATTGAGCTCACCCTCTCCGTGGTCCTTGGGTGCCACCTTTATTTAGCAAGTCCTCTTTGGCTTTCTAATTTGCCCCAGAGCAAATGGGCTCTGAGTGAGGGCTCTTCAGTGAGAAAAGTGCATGGGCTTTATGACATCTCTTGGCTCCTCAGAAGTCTTTTTTTTTTTTTTTTCTTCCAGATAATTGAGTCTACTGGATAGAGGCGGTCCTTGGCTTACTACCCACCCTCCTCCTCAAGCTACAGAGCACAAATTCTTCTGAGACTTGCCCCTCCCCCCCAATAAAACACTCCCATCAGGTGCTCTTCTCAAGACTGTCCGAGTGCTCTGACCCTGTCTTCATCATTTACAAATGGCACAGTGTGGAGATCATGTAGCTAGACAGGAGAAGACCTGGTGATGATGGGGTGATGGGACCTGAACCCTGAATTTTCCCACACATTTCAGCAGCCCAGATCAACAGTGATCACCCGTCATTACCAGGTCTCCTGACTAGCTCCATGACCTTGGGCAAGTTACTGCTCCTCCCTGGGCCTCAGTTTCTTCTTCTGTAAAGTGAGGACTCATGATCTCCCAAGTCCCTCTTTGTTTCAAATGATGTGACCTGAGAATTTCCTGTGATTTTCTCAACAACTCTGGAGAACATAAATGCAAAATTCTTATCACCCCCATTTTAGAGACGGGAAAGGTGGGACTGAGGGCTGTTACTCCAGTCCTGGAACAAGCTGCCCAGTTCTGAAAAGGTCAGGGCTCCATCATCTCATCAGGAAGCGCCTTCGGGGCTGATTCCCAGAGGACACTGCAGTTACATAACTCACTCCCCCTCTTCTCCCCCTAGACCCCCCCTCCCCCCACTCCCTTCTACCATGGTGCTGCTGTTTCTGTTTAGAGTGTTTCTTTTTCCTTAATAGCTCCTGGCCTAGTCCCCTGCACAAGCTCTCTTGTCCACCTTTTTTGGGGGAGTGGGAGACTCCTAATCACTTCCCTGCACACAGTAGGCACTTAACAAGGGTTTGTTGGTTCCAACCGAACTGACCCATTGTGCTGTGAGTGAAAAGTGCCTTGGATTTGAGGTCAGATTGACTCGTGTGACCTGAGAAATGGCTCTCCCCGCCCCAAGCTTTTTCAGGAGTGAGAGGAGAGGGCTGGTTGCTTATCCTTCCCCTGCTTTGATGCAGAGCCCCAAGGAAGATCTCCCAGCAGCAGTTCCCAGGGGGGAATGACAAGCTTGTGTGTACCTCAGTTAGCTAAATAAGCCAAGAGGGCTTGGCCACTTCTCTTCCGGACTGATTGAGATTCTCTGGTGAGCCCTGGAGCCTGGTTAGCTGGAAATAAGCCCCCGAAATTGGAGGCAGTAGGGAAGGCTGGCTCAGCCCCCTTCACAGTGGTAAAGGGGGCGTTTTGGACAGTTATCTAAAACGAACTTTCTGCTCTTCCATAGCAGCCCTGGGCCTCCTCCCTCACCAGCCAGGATCTGAGGGAGCTGAGGGCAGCCCCCAGAGAGAGCACAGGGATAGAAAGGCACATGCTCGTTTGGCGCCCAACACCGTCCGCTGTGAGCTGGTCTCTGTGAGGAATCCCTGAGGGGGCCGGGCAGCGTTGGCTATAGTCGGGCTGCTGTTGCTGGGCACCTGTATCCCTGGGAAGGGAAGGTACCCACTGGCACCCAGCAGTTAGAGGGAGGAATGCCAGCATGTCACTGAGAAGCCCCCGAGAGGTAACTGCGGGTCCAGCCCAGCCAGAGTGAACTCCCCCCACCCCCGAAGCTAAGTCAGAAGAGCATGGAGCGAAGCGGGGCTGAGTCCTCGGGGTGGGGAGCAGAAGCTGCCAGTCACTGTCCCTGGAGCTTCAGTACACCAGGAAGGGAGGTGGAGAGGAAAGAGAGATATAGAGCCCGACCGAGAGGGAATGCCTGTCTCTCTCACTAGGTAGTTCTAGAGAGAGGGGAGGAAACCTGGCATGGGGGTGGGGGCTGGGATGGGGTGGTGATGGTGGGAATCTGGATTAGCCCGCTCCTTCCCCTGGGGGAGCTTCTCTCCTTTCTGCCCACTTTTTCAACCCCTGAGTTTTTCTCCTCCAGCTTGGGATAAGCTCGGACCCAGGGCCGAAGGCTGCACCCTCTGCATCTCTGCCAAGCAGGGCAGCCTTGGAGGCTCTGAGTCGAACGCACCTTAGGGCTTCTCAAGCTCACTGCCTTTCAGGTCAGACACTGGAATATGAGGGCCAGACAGAGTAGAATTCCTGCCCCAGATAGCCCCGGGAGTCCAGATTGGGACCCAGCCCGAGCCTGGAGCGCGGAGCCCGGAGCGCGGAGCCCGGAGCGCGGAGCGCGGAGCGCGGAGCCCAGAGCCCAGACTCCAGAGCCCAGACTCCAGAGCCCAGAGCCCAGACTCCAGAGCCCAGAGCCCAGAGCCCAGACTCCAGAGCCCAGAGCCCAGA